CTTCTCTAACCATCAAAGTCTTTGTAAGGGTTAGTTTTAGATTCTAGAATTGGCTTGGAACGTGCTCTGTAAACGTTATATAATAGTTTATCTCTATGTGGTGGTAGTTGATACGGAATGTGAATCAACAATATACCATCAATCTCCTCTTTCATCATCCACCTTCATCACCTCCTCTGACTCTCTCTCCATCTTTGTCATCTTTTTCCTCTGAAAATCTGATCATCTTCCTCTAGCTGAGACTTTTGTTTTCCTCGATATTTATTACACATAAATATAATATAATATTTATATAAATATAATGTAACCTTGTTTACTGTTTAATTCTCAATCTTTTTTGCTTTATTTGCTTCTTTGCATCTTGATCATCATTATCCTTCATCATCTTCAATACATTATTACTATTTATCATACGTTTTCATTATATTATCTCCATGTAGACCATTTTATTGGATTTATCATTTGCCTGGTTGATCTTTAACATCTTATTGAGATAAACCATTGATTTTTAGATAGAGGAGAGAGAGAGAGAGAGAAGAGGTTTTCATCTTTTACCATGTGAACTTGTCTCTGTGTTTTGTAGATCTGATGATGATTATGACTAAAAGATGAAAAACAGAGGATTGAGATGAGAGAGAGAAAGTAGAAAGGATTAGATAATCACCTCGATCATTTATAATGAAAGTGAATTGGAAACTTAAGGTTGACATGCAATATGTTTGGATAAATGAACAGAGGGAATTGTTATTTAAACAAGGATGATGATGAAAAGGAGGATAAATTATATAAAATTGAATCAGGGTGAAAGGAATAGGAAACTTCAGATTGGGCGAGTCTTGAGGTATTCGGGTTTGGATCAATTTTTGGTGGAGATGAAACTTTGATGATGGTGAAGGAAGAAGATAACTGAACCGAAGTAGAGGAATAATTGAAAGATGAAAGAGAGACAGAGAAAGAAAAGAAGAGAAAGAGAAGAAAGAAAATAAGGGAACAAAAGGATGATGAGGATGGAGAAAAATGTGAAGAAGAATAAAAGAGCTGAAGTGAAGAAAAAAATCTTCAGGCTTAGAGAATAGAAGGTAAGTGACAGAATTAGAAAAGTAAATCGGAGACTTTCGAAAGCATAGTGAAGGTTTTTCTCTTTCTCTCCATTGGACTTACATAGGAAAAAGAAAATAAGATAAAAGAGGAAAGAAGGTAAATCCATCTTGAAATAGCCATTTTCTATTGGAATATATCCTTTCCTTTCTCAGTTCCAATTCCAATTCCACTTTCACTATCACATTCCAATTCAATGTAACCAAGATTGACCAATAAAGCTCCAAGGTAACAGTTACCATTAAATGTGATCCACTTTTCCAAATGCTTGACACTTTCTTTTCCTGAATAAACAATGTTGCTTTTCATATTACACCATAATCAATGTTTCCTCAACATGATTCACCAAAAAACTCGAATAATAATTCAGAGAGATTGAAAAAAGGATCCATTTTCTTTAAGTTCTTGAAGGCGATGCTGTTTTTTCATCTTCTCCAGCAGAGTTACTTTGCAAGATGGAGTAACAAAAAAAATCCATGAATCGGGTTAGATTAATTTCTCAGTGGAAAAATGTTGTGATGATTAAGAAGTTTCTGAGTAGGTGGGAGGGTGAGTGTGTATGTGTGTATGTCCAGTTAATCTGGTTATCTATTTGTCCAAATAATCAGACTGATGATAAAATATCTTCAGTAAATATGAAGCTCAAGAAACAAGAGGAACCATAAAACGTTTACTATGTAAGTACAGAGAGAGAGAGAGAGATGAGGATGGGGATGAGTTTGAAAAAGAAGAGAAAATTTCATGATATATATTTTTCCATCGCCATTTACATTGATTTAATTCAATCAAACACCAATTGGTAAACACTTTCTCTCTCAATATTGATCAACAGTAATTTCTGTTCACTAGAAATTTTATTCTTCTCTATTGACCATTACCATGGTCACTCATCAGATTCATGATATATATTTGTAATCAGATGAATATCCAGTAGACGAGAAAAAAAAGAACCAGAAAACGATGAAAATAAATCGAGAGTAATTGAGACGAAACATAAATGATGATGATGGTGATTAAAGTAGACAATGATGAAGACAATATAACTTTGAATCGGTTGATAACCATGGACATATTAACATGGAGAACATGGTGAAAATGGTGATAATCGCCGATAGTTAAAGATGAATCATTGAAAAGATACCAGAATATGAACCAGAAAGGGAAAATAATGGTAATTTAGATGAGAAGATGGGGAAAAAGAAAACATTGTTTGGGCTCTTTTGTGAGACAGAATTTGATGAGAAAAGGAAAAAAAATAGTTACTCAACCATTGATTCAATTGATTCTGATCAATTCCATGCCGATATCCAATCAATCATTTATTGGATTACGATTATCTGAGTATATTGTCTTTATCTTCCCAATTCACATCACCGATCCCATTGGAAACATTGTATCACTTTCCATGTTTACATCATTGATGAACAATTCTGTTTACCTTTATTAGTCTTCTCGATGCTGAATCTTTGCAACTTTTTTTCATGGTAAATTCATGATATGAGAGATGATCATCATCACGATTAACAGATTATTAATCCATAGACCATGAGTTTAAGGTGAGTTTCCAACTTTTCATGGGATTTTTTTTCTCGATTAAATTTCATCTGATTTGTTTTCCATTTGCGTAAATATATATTCATATATATTTGTAGATATTTATATTTGGTGAAGATGATTATGATTATAATACACTGATGGATTAGATTACAAAGATTTAAGATGCTAATTAAAGATGATCGACCATTGAAATTGTTTAATGATGAAAATAATGATGATAATGATTAGGTTTTTGATATAACAATGTCAATGGATTGTGATGTCCATGTATTTATATATAAGGGTAACTTGAGACCACTTTGTGAATCCAAGATGTTATTTGAGCTTTAGATAAGATTAAGATTAAAATTAATCACCGATAAATGATAATCCATCCGAGGAGAAGATTATTTAACTTTATTACCAGCTGATTGAGAGAAATCAACTTGTACCTCCAATTATAAGTGAGAAATTATTATTATTACTTTTTGGATTGGAATCAATTCACTTGTGTCAATCAATTGATTGATAGAATAAGAAATTATCTTCTCACTTAATCCAATAATTAATCTCCATTTAATTGTGTAGAGAAAAAGGCAAATCATTGGGAGAGAGAGAGAGATGAGAGACAATTATTATGATAATCGAATTCATTTCTCACTTTCGATCTCGATATTAACGGTAATCTTTTTCTCTCTAATCATTTAATCTAATCTCTTTAATCCTTTTTTTTCATCTCTCTTTTTACAGTTAATCATCACCTCCATTATCACCATTAGATTTACCATTGTCATCATCATCATTTTTACCATTAAATTGGTTCATTGTAACACTTTTATCATCTGATGAACCTTTTCGATCCGTTGATTGTTGTGTTGATTGTTGAACATTTGATGAATTCATTTTATTCATTTTATCCACACTTTGGCAACTATTAACATCCTGATTGTTACAATTATCATCATTAATTGTTGTATCACTTTCCTCTTGATTACCAAGGGATCCAAGACCATCATCAACATCATCATTAGTCCCAATTAGATGATCACTTTTTGTTGTTTCCTTTTTTTTACTTTTTAAATTATAATTTGGTGAATTAGTTAAACAATTTGGATCATTTAGATTACCATTGATTATGTTACTCTCAATTACCGTTAAATCATCTCTAAGATTACAATCCATGTTAATACCGTTAATTTGATGGCAACCAATTATTTGACATTCTAGTAGATCAAGGTGACCATGACAATGACCTTGACAATGGCCAATTGGACAATTATCATCACCATAAGGGACAATGGTATCGGAAAGTGTTGGATGAATGGGATGATGATGATGATTACGAGCATGTTGACCTGGAGACGATGAGGTCGATGCACATTTAACCATTCCATCACAATCGATAACCGAATCATCAACGGAAAGTGGACATTTAATCCCATTGGCATCAATTGGTCCCATTGGTACCACACCGATACCCTGACCATGGATTAAATGATCACCATAATAAGGTTTAAGGGTTGGCCTTATGTGACCTCTTTCCGTTAAATCTTCTTCACTATCTTCTCGTTTTCTTATATACCAATAACGAGAAGGACAAAAATGACGAAAATATTTGCCAACACAATTACCACAATAGTGACCATTGATAAAGAACCACCATCACCCGATGAACCAGAATTTCCACCCTCCCTCGATTTGGACGAAGATCATTCCCCGTTAGACCAACATCATCAAGACCATCAAGATCTTCACCGTCATCGTCTTTATATATTTTAAGGACACATCTCTCTTTATCGGTATCCCATCGGTAACCATAAGCACAAGCACTGTCATTATTTGGTTTACACAAACTTCCCGGATAAATGGCATCCCAATGGGAACCTTTTGGACATTTACACCGTCCTCCTGTACACACTAACTGATCTCGAGAACAGTCATCTGAAGATCGACATTTTGACCCATATAAACGCTGTGGACTACAAGTATCATCTAGCGAATCGTAAATGTAGCCATAAACACATTCACAAATGCTACTTTTACGATTACAAAAGGAGTGAAAATTTTCCTTGGTACAATCACGATCGGTATTGCACCAAGAACCGATGGTTCGTTTAACACAAGTACCATTATTGGTATCAAATTGATGACCCAAACGACAGCGACATTTACCTTCAGGCCAATCACTTAACTGAAAACCAACATTATGACCACCAGAATGATCATATTCAGTTCCAAGTATGTAACAAGCGGCATTAAAAGTTTCATTACATTGTCTTGAAGTGTAACAAGTCTCATTTATACCAACATATCGAAGACAATATTTAAATAATCTTATCGGATAATCTGGCTTACAATGACACCGAGACGATTCCAGGTCACAATAAGAACCAACGGAATCTTCACATCCAACAGTTGGATATTTTTCAAAATCACAGGGAATCGGTGCCGATGAAAATATCATCGTTTTAGTGACGATTGTCCTAATTAATAGAAAAATAAGTAAAACACAACATTTGATTGACATGTTCTCTTCCTTTTCCTTGATCTTTTCACAAATGTCCACTTTAATGTCCACTCACTGTTGTCGAGAAAAGGAAAACTTTCCCAATCTTCTTGTTTGTACTATCACAACAAATTGATCAAAATCGATGATTGAGAATTGATTACTTTTTCTCCTTCCTTTTTCCCCTTCCCTGTTATTAGATTCAAATACAAGGTTCGATGATGAACTGGAATGGATTCCACCCAATAACGAACTGAGAAAGAGAGAGAAAAAAAATGTTTCGATCATTTTCTGTTTCCTGGTTGATGATCAAAGAACCAGAAGAAAATGGAAGGATGTTTATCCTGATGATTTCGATAATGATGCTTATGATGATGATGATTATTCTTTATCACTGAATAACCATTGACGTTTCCAGTTTTCGAAGATGCAGTTTATCAAAAAAAAAAAAATAAAAAAGAAAACACAAAATCCGAAGCCTTAAAATTGAACTTGGGAAATTTTCGGTAATATTTTTCTTCTCGTTACACTTTATCTTAGAGTTTTTTATTATTATCCTTGGAGTTTTACTTTCTCATTTTCGATTTGTTATTTTTTTATTATTATTCCTTCTAATAGGTAATAATAATATCGTTTATGAACACACAAAGCTCATATAAAAAGGCGAGAATAGAATCTGAAATTGTCTGTTTTCTTTAACTGATGGAGATTCACCAAAGAATAACTCATGAAATTACTGATGAAGAAGATGAGAAGATGATTATGAGGATGATAATGATGGAAGATAATTTTCACTCTTGTGTCAATTCCTCGAGGATCTATTCAGTTCTAATCATTCAAACTGTTATTTTTTCTTCTTCTCTTTTTTACCTTTTCCCCTGTTTAGTTTATTTCATCAACGAAATGAAGATGAACACATCTTCTTCCATTTATCATCTTGATTCGCTGTAGGCTAGACTCAGAATTCTGGGAGATAACCTTCACCATCCGCTCTATTTCTCAGTATCTTTTTTCTTCACCTTAATCTTTTTCTTTTTTCTTCTGGTTTTCGACTCTTTATTGATCGTTTTTACTATATACCTTTTCTTTTTATTCCCAAACTTTTCATCTCTTTACTTATTCTTGCTTCGATTTACCTTCTAGTGTCTTTTCAATCAACCATTCGAAGAACGAGTTAAATCAAAGTCTCAATCCAACTTTTTATTTCCATTACAATTTTCTGTTGAAACAGAAAATAAATAAACACAGTTGATTGAATCGAAGATGATATAATATAATAAATCTACTTGTAAATATAAATGATATTCTCAACATGGATTATCAATAGTAACCTAATAGTTATGGAAAACGGAAGAGGAAAAATATTCAAGTTTCTTGACACTCAGAATGAAGACGATGATGATGATGGACAAGTTTTCTAAGAAGAAGGAGAAGAAAAAAGTTCTAATCATGGCAATTGGTTTTCTCTTCTCTGTTCTGAGACTTAGATTATTGGGTGTCAATTATCAAGATTATGTCGACAATCATAATGATGATTATGAGGATCACTTGAATTGACGATAATGATGTTCACCAATTACATTGAAAGGCCATTGAAAAGGTTTAATGTTTGCTCATGAAATCAGTAAGTTTGGTATTTTGGTTACCTAGATTATTATCATTACCAAGGTAAGAAAATTACCTGTGATGTTATTGTTGTTGTTTATTGAGTTACGTGAATTTATCTGAAAGTAGTAAAAGAAAACAACTAATAACATAAGAAATACGAATGAAACTTAACGTGTTCTCGTTTCTTTTTTTCTTCAACAAAAAAAACATAAACAACACTCGATTTTTGGTCTATTAAACTCACCATCGAACTGTGTACATTTCATGAATCGCCATTAGACAAATGATCATGATTCTCAAGAACAACATGAAGATGGAATAATAATAATATTCTAGGGGAAATCCAAGTAAAAAAAGAGGACGAAAAGTAAATTCGTTGAAGATGAATTAAAATGATGAAGAAAAAAGGATGCGATTGATGATCTTGATGAAGATGAAGATAAGGATGAGGATGAGGATGGAAAAGGCTGAAAAGTGGATTCACTTCCTGAAGATTTAAACCTCCTAAGAGGTTATGGTGTACATAAGAAGTAGAAGAATCTATTAACTTTGTTTTTCTTTTCTCTTTTGTAAGTTGATTCTTATTCACTTTCATTCACAAAATTGATACTCAGTTTCAATTCTTTTTTTTTAAATTATCCTTTTGTTTATTTACTATTTTTCCCTCATCAACTTGATATCTGGTTCTTTTACCATTATTATTATTGATAAAGATTGGTGGTTATCTCCTTGATGGTGACTATTTAAATTTCAATGAGAGAAAAAAAAATCTAAATGAATTCGAACCTGAAAATTGAAATATTATCAGGATCTCTTGGCATTCTAATATTAAAGACTTTATGGTTTGGACTGTTGATTATTTTCTCATCTCATGGAAATTAATTATCATGTAAATCAATTGATATTAATTCCAATTCACCTTTTCATCTTTTTTTATTCTCTTCTCTTATTCTTCTTCCTTAATCTTCATCATGCTTCGTTTTTCTCTTTACTGTCATTCTCTTGACAAAACATTTCTCTTCTATTTGTTTCATCTTCTTTCATGATCATTTCTCTCTTTCTCTCTCTGTATTTCATTGTATTCATTTTTTATCTTCTCTTTTTCCATCCTCATCATGATCATCATGTAGCAAGTTCCTGTTCCTCTTGGATGCAAACTCTAATACTTATGGATTGAGTTTCTTGTCTATTATTATGTTTGCCTTGAGAAAGATTATATTGCCAAACGAAGCAAAGCCAAATATGAATTTTGGGCAAAGTGATGAGAAGGCAAAACATTATAATCATAATGTTCATCATCTCGATTGTGTGGAAAGTTATTATAAACATGATGGTAAAGAGATGGATTATCAAGTCAAATTAAGCATCTTCGGGAAACATTACAACGATTAATGTCAGTTCATCATAAACACACATCGTTTCAACACGAATCAAACATCATCATAATCATCATTATGATTCAGGTAAATGTCGAATCGTTAACATGTAACAATAACAACAATACATTTCCCAAGTACCTTGAGGGCAAAGGGTTTATCTTATTGAAATGGATTGAAATTACTATTGGAAGGTCAGTTTTTAGATGATGAAAAAGAAATGGTCACTTACCTTGATTATGAGGAAAAAAGGATGAGGAGGAAAATTTTTGATTCTAATCCATTGAATTAACTATTTCATGTTGTGTAAGAAGATGAGATTGATTTGAAATCTTTAGGATTGTGGATGAATCGAGTAAAATATATTATTAATATATTCTGATGACATGGGAAAGGAAAATCAATTGGTCACAATTGAGGCACATTAGCATGTTACACGTTATATGGAGTAGATTTTAAGATGAACATGAAGATGAAGATGATGACCAATAATATTGAGACACATTGTTACAAGGTAGAAGACATACTGAGATGAGAGGATGAAAAAGAAACTAAAAAAAAGAGAAAGAGAGAAAAAAACAAAATCGAATAAACTGAAACTGTTCAGAACTCAACAGAATTAACAACAAAGATAGAAAGAGAAAGAGACAGAGTTACATTGAGTCTAAGTGTATATTCACAGGCTGTCACTTGGAGTACAGAAAATGTAACATGGTTGTTGTCTTCCTTTTACTTTTCATCTTCTTCATCTTCTTCAGTCTCTTTCTTTACTTTCTATCCTTTTTCTTCCTCTTCTTATTCCACCTTCTCTTGCCTTCTATTCCTTAATTCTCAGCCTCTCCCAATTCGCTCTCTCTCTCTCTCTCTTTCTCTTTCTCGACTTTTCTCTCTTTCGTTTTTATCTCTTATTCTCATGTCTCAGAATTTTTTTATTATTTTCTATTTCAACAGAATTATTATTTTTTTCTTACATAACTGTTATCTACTTCATTCCCACTCCCAACTTGCGCTGTTATCACTCCCACCTCACCTTTACCACCCTCCATGGATCACATCTCCATCTATTGATCCACTTGCAAAGGATTTTGATATAATTTATTCTGGTTCTTGGAAAACATTTCATGGGAAAATTTTTTCTCTCATCAACTATTTAATATTACAATTAGAACTCGAAAAGTTTGAAAAACTATTTTATTCATGAAAGCTCAGCTAATGTTAAATAAGATCGTTTATATTTCTAACTATCCAACAAACAATCAACTTTTTTATACTTTTGTTTCAATAACATTTGAGTAAATGTTTCAAATAATCTTCCCAAGTTCCAATGCTGAGAATTTTTTTAGCATCGGAATATTTGAAGATTTCTCTAATTACTTTATTGTGGAAAGATTGTTTGGTCTTAATTTAGTCTTTAATTAGTTAGATTAATATAATTTTCCAATTATTGTGATTTAAGATTCCAACAATTTGGCCTCGTCTGAATCAGTTGCGATATCGTCATTGATTCGAACGTGTTTCTTTTCCATTCCCGGTGTAAGAATACCATCGATATTGGCACCAATAATTTGCGGATTCCCTTCTTGACCAGTCGCAGCAGCGGCCGCAGCGGCAGCGGCAGCTTCTTCCTCTTCCTCTTGGAGATCTTTCTCTTTTCTTAATTGCGATTTCAAATCATTATTCGCCTCCCTTAATGAACCAACATTGGACATTAAATAGTAAATAATAAGAATCATCAATAGCATCAAAGGAATAACAGCTCCAGGAGAGGTAAGATAATCGATTATCTTATTGACACGATCAGGAAGTGTTTTTCAAGATAAGTAGTGAACACCCGATAGACTCGATCATATCCACTAAGAAAAAAATATAAACAGTAAATTAGCTTCACCAACAATCAACAAAGATAATCAACTAACCTGAATGGGCCACAGTGCCAGGAGGGTTCAAGCCAAACAACAGCATATCCAACAGGAAGAGTACAAATAAACAACATTGATAACAAAATGGCGTAATAAAAGTTATTGTTTCCGGAAGCCTGAAAATCAGATATGGATTAAAATCAATTATCATAATGGTCGCAATCTTAGCATCAACCTTGAGCTCACCTTGAAAACCGTTTCATGAGGTATATTTGATGACAATACTGCCCAAGATTGTAAGTACATTAAGATACACAATCTAATTGTGTTGATTGCAGGTAAACCGGGTGAGAAAAACATTCCAAGCCTGAAAATGATTGAAGAAAAGTTTTATTATTGTTGATAAATATAATTATCGATAATTTAATTGTTGATATTCACCAAATATTTGCTTGATTGTTAACCAGAGCTAAAATATTTTCCGCGATTTGGAAATCAGCGTAACCAGGAAATTGAGTCTCGAGATCCCAAAAGATGCAACTACAATCGTTACAGTAACGAACGAAAACAGCTCGACCATAGTCAAAGACGATCGTTGTCATAATAGCGATTAAAGTGTCCATGACCAGAATTTTGGCCAATTCTTGGCCGAACATCGTTTCCCAGCAAAGATCTCGTAACGAAGCTCTTTCCTCTTTGGACAATTTTAATAAATCATCAGCTGTATAAGTAAACACTGTCGTTGTCTCTGGTAAACATTGAGTTGTCATCTCTGGTGCTGATGTTGTTGTCGAGATGAGGCTGGTTGTTGAAGTTATTCCCGATACTTTACCTGTTGTACCTGAACCTTTACCTGTCGATGGACGTGCTGTACTTGAACTTTTTGAACCTTTACCTGTACTTTTTGTACGACCTGCCGATGGTGTTAATGATGAAGGTGATGCCGTAGTCATTTGAGAACCATTAACACCAGATTTAGATGTACCTTTACTTGTAGATGGTAAAGTGACCAAAGTCGGTGTTGTATATGAACCATCATCTGACCCATTCATCGGTGTTGTTAGGCCACTTTCTTCAAGAGTCATTGTAATCGTACCATTGGAATCAATATCAAACGTAACACCTCCTCCGTCACCACCACCACCTCCAGGGTCAACATTAGATGATGAATTTCCCGGTGTCGTTGAAGTCGATGGACGAGTGAAACTGATTAAAGTTCAAATAAATTGATAGTTCGACTTTAAATTAACACGATAGAATTGAACTTACACTGATAAGTACCGACCATCGATTGGCTCCTCGGCATCTAAATCGTTCCGTGCATATGGATCGTAAAATGTTGTCTCCGTGGTCATGATAAACTCCATGTCACCTCGAGTCATTTTATTGGCCGGATCATCTGATGAGTCGCAATTTAATTATTTCGATAATCATGTTTATAAAAAATAACGAAATTTTTACCTGGAGGAAAGAGTCGTCCTTCATGTGGCACTCGACGGTTTCGTTTTTTAGTCCCACCGGTGGAGGTTGAATTACTTGATGGCTTCAGAGAATCAATGACTTTCAAAGTAACCGAATCGCTTTCAACAAATATCGGTGAAACTGTGGTGCTCATTTTGGACATTGTTAAATTACCTTTAATCATTTTCTTATAATTCAATAACTTGGCAGACTAGAAAACAAGAAAATCGAAAATTGAAAATCGTGAGTTGACTTAACTTTCCAATAGATGGCATGAGAAATATAAAAATAATTCGAAACAATTAACTCACCATTTCGTCAATTTTATCGAAAATTGCAAATAAAAAGGTATAAAGATTGAGTAGATTAAGAACAAGAATTCTGTTGGAATGAGAATTATATTGAAGAAATTAAATAAGATAAACGATCTGATGATTTACCTTGCTAATTGCCACCTTAAGGCGATCCTTGGATGATAATCTTCAAGAACTGCGATAATATTGAAAATATTTGGATAGACAGTTGATATACCACTGACCACAATGGTCACTTCATTTTCTCTGAGAAAACCAGGATTTTCTGGTAACTTCAACGATCTTTGGACAACAAAGACAACAGCATAAGCTGATGAAACGAGTAACATTGCAACCCTGAGGGCAAAAGATGAAAAAGAATCAGTAAAAAAAAAGTAAATGATCAGTGTAGAGCTTACAATATATTAGCGATGACCCTTCTAACGATCATCTTCCAATCTTTGGTTTCTTTTTTCTTCTCCTTCTCCTCCAGAATCACCTCTTTGAAACTCATCACAATCGAAGCCACCTTATTATAAGCAGTTTCGCTATTTCCAATCATGAAATCCCAGCCTGTGGATGAAAAGAGTAAGAAAAGAAAATGAAATCAACCTAATTTCGGGAAAAAAAGTTCCAGGTTTACCTGTGAAAAGTTTCCACGTGAAAACGTATTCATCGTCTTTGGATCCTATTCGATTGTTTCGAGCATTTTGGGTCATTCTGGTTCGTTGGTCGAGTTGAGAAATTGCAATAGAAGATTATTATCGTTAATCGAAAGATCGAAATATAAGTTGACCTTAGTTACTTACTTACGAAGGATACAAAAGAAACTGAATGCATAAAGTAAAATACAAGCTCCAAAATAAGCTAACGGTAAACGGTAACCGATACTTGTGGTCTCTTCGTTTTCGTAGTAGCCATAAAAAATGGGTGAGTACTTGAGGTATCCCTGAGAAAATTGATTCGATTAAAGGTAATTACAATTAGACTTGATCGATTACAAATCGAATTTGAAAAGTTTTCTTACATCAAAGTTCCAAGCTGTGTTGATCATCTCCTTAAAGGTCAAGTTTTTTCCAGCATCTTCGAACTTTCTCATCTGGGTTGGATCTTTCGAACCTCGAAGAATCTGAACAGTTTTAAGATTGGAAAAAAATGATCATCAAAATTTCATTTTCTACTTTTACTGTTGATTTACCTCAGGAACCATCAAGAAGACACACATCGAAATACTTATGAAGGTGTTGATCCAGAAAATCCACCGGAGGAAAGTAAAGTAAGAAGCAACCACCGAACCAAATTGACCTAATCAGAGTAAATTAACAAATTCGTTGAATTAAATCAAGCAAATTTACTTCATTAACTCTTAATTAACTTACTCTCGATCTTTTTGATTCTCATTTCCCATGGAGTTAATTGTACCACAAGGTTGTTAATTTCACGTTTCAATCGATTAACTGACTGATTGATTTACGAAATTTTTAATTAGTTTAAAATTCTATTGAAAGTTTAATTATTCGTAGTTAGGGTAATATAGTTAGTCTACCTTTTCGAGATAAGTTCGATACTTGGTCACAATATCCTTCGCTTGTTTACTTTGCTTCAAGTCTCCTTCGTGCTTTTTAATGTACATTTTAGCTCGACGAAGAATCTGTAAGTTATATCAAAATAATGATCGATTATTTTGAGAAAAGAAAAACAATCGAAATGAAAAAGTCATAAAATTATTTTCTCCATTATAATGTTGACGAAAAAGATTAAATTTATCATGTAAATTGATCATTTCTCCAGTTCTCTAATCCTTCATGATAATCTTCTTCCTGAATTGAGGTTTTCTTTTTGTCTTTTTTTTCTATTCTTTCATCAACTTTTACAATCTTGGTGAGTAAATGAACTACACCCAATCCACTGAACATAACTTATTCTGATAACTTTGTATCCACCCTTCAGATTGCAAAGCATTTGTTTCTCATTCAGTCAGAAATCAATTCAGAATTTAAAGTTTATCATGAAAAAATATTAATCCTAATGCGAAATAAAATCTCTGATAAATTACAATTGGATTAATCTTGCAACAGATTATTTTGAATGTTAATCAATTTTCTTCATTTATCAACTCACCTTGAGTTTCCGATGCATTGGCCAGTTCTGAGTTTTAATAGTTGATATTATCTGTTTATGAGCTTTCAACGTTTCCACAATTTCCTCTTCCGTTAAAGCATCGTCAATGGTGATCATGGTTTCACTGGAAATTTATGGAATAAGTTTGATTTGAGTTCGACAAAAAAAAAGAACAAAGAGAAAATGTTAACAATCTTCAAGCTCATTTGTGATTCGAAAATCTTACTCATTCGATGAAGCACAGAACGAGGATAAGCGACGTTTCCCCGTTTCTAGTTGTACCATTATACTGTCGTCACCCATGAGAAAAGTTTGTGATCCTCGGCGAGGAGATCGTGACCCTGACCTAAAACGATTATCGAAACATGAACATAAGATGTGTTCACTAGAAAATGACAAAAACTTTGGCGCTTGATATCGGCACAATGTCTAGACTATTAGACTATTTTAAGATATCAAATTAACGGAAATTTAATTGTCTTTAAAATGAGACCAAATTAAAAAAGATCAGATTAGTTTCTGATTTCAAAATGTGTACTAATCAAAAAGAAAGAAGAAATTTAGTTTTCACTTATGTTAAATGTAATCCATCAATGCGACCTCATCATGTTTATCTCAATTTAAAATCGATAGGAATCAGTAAATCTACGGTTTATAGAATTTTTAATATTGTGAGAGATGGTTCATCTTGAAGAAACCAGGATTGAAAGGCAGAAAAATGACCAAAACGTTTGAACAATTTTTCTCCTGAAAATTGACCTATTCTGTTCGTTCATTAGCTTCGAAATTCAAAATCTCACCTTCATATGTTCACAAGCTATTGGTTCATTTTAATAGTTGATTTAGAAACAATTGATTCAAGATGATCATGATGAACAAACGCGTCAATACTGATTAAAAATTGGTAGAAATGATTGCGGCGAGTTCAAATCTGGTGATAGTGGAAGATGATGAAAGTTATTTCCCGTTAGATCGATCATCCAATCGTGGTTTCTACACTTCTAATGTTGCTAATACACCTGATGAAATTCGCTTCAACTTTAAGGCAAAATTCGAACCCAAACTTTGCGTTTGGATCGCGATAAGTTCGCGCGGTTGCAGCGCCCCCTTTTTTGTCCCCGCCAAACACGCGATTAATGCGGAAATTTATTCGAAAAGCTGTATTGAAGAAAAACTCAAACCTTTTTTGGACGAATTCCATTCAGATGGACAATACATATTCTGGCCTGATGGCGCCACTTGTCATTATGCTAAAGCAACAATCAACGTTCTCGAAAATCTTGGAATTAAATTCGTTCAAAAAGAAGACAATCCTCCGAATATTCCTCAATTAAGGGTCATCGAAAGATTCTGGAGCCATTTAAAAAACAAAGTTTACCAAAATGGTTGGAAAACTAATGACTTTGATAAACTTAAACGTCGAATTGAACTAAAAATCAAAGAATTTGACCTCGACTACTTCGAACGGCTTTTCGTTAATACCAAGACAAAAATGAGACTCGCCGCTCGCTATGGTCCATTATCAATATTGAGAGATCAAAATAAAATTTAAATTTCTTTTCTAACCCTACTAATTGCTGAGAAATTTTCATTTGAATTTTTTGTCATTTTCTAGTGAACACATCTAGAAACGAAGAGATGAAGTGAAGAGTCTGAATAAAGAGAAATGATTATCGATATTAAGTATTTACCTTGATCGTTTAGAGACTTGTATCAATTCTGATTCTGGTGGTGCTAACGAGGATCTGCGCCGTTCACGAATCTTTTCAGATAAAGAAGGTGGTGTTTGACATGGTGAAGGTAAAGTTGACGTTGGTGGAGAAAAGGTTGTTGGTGTTGATGTGGTTGATTCAAATTTCTCATTAGTTCCTTGATTAGTCTTGGATTGATCTTCAGAATCAGATTTACATTTGGATTTAACTTTTTTCCCTTTAATTTTGAAACTTTTTTCATCAGATGATTTAGATGATGAAGATGAATTTTTCTTATCTTCATGTTGCTCTTGGTCAATAGTTGAAGATGCAGTTGATTTTGTAGATGATGAGGATGAAGAAACTGAGGTTGATTCGTGATGATAATTTGATCTAGATCGAGTTAATCCTTGACGGGATTGTCGTTGTTGTTGTTGTTGCTGTTGTTGTTGTTCTGATGGTTGATCATCACCTTCACTATCACCATTATTATTGTTATCGTTATCCCCAATTTCATAGTCTAAATCCTCGTTGGTACTTTGATTAGCACCTTGATCAGAATGATCATCATGCTCAGAATTATCTTTAGTCAAAGCGATTTCATCTTCATCCATAATTGAGCCTCAATATTAGAGGAAAACTTTTCAATCCTCTGTAAAATTAATGATATAAAATCACAATTAGATAATAAACTAAAATGTTGATTACTAATCCACATCACTTGAAATAATTAACAGATTGTAGTAGAAATTAAATATCTCATCCTCACTGAGAAATAATAAGAAAAAAACAATTCCATTTACATGATGATTATGAAATGTTTCCACCAGAATGTTCAACTTTGGGTGGGTCACTTTTAATCATCATCATCATCATTTACCTGGAAGAAGATAAACTCTCAGGTGAAGCCAGCGCCCTTCAATTGATTCTTGATTCGTGATCAGGAAGATTCATTCAACTTTGTATATGATCATTTGGTGCATTATCGTATTAATCTAGTTCTCTGACAGCACGAAGAAAAAGTTGAATATACACAATGGAAACTCAAAGGTAAATACATAACATGCTCATTCCCTGAGGACGATATTAAATCTATTTATTTATGAACATCTTCATGATCACAATCAACTGGTGGTAAACAGAAATTAACTTAGTAATTATTTTTTTAGCCTTTTAGAGAAACGGAACAGGAAAATGATCCTCAATACAAAAAAAATGGTCAAGTTTTCGGAAAAAGAAGAAGAAAAAAGTTCTAATCAAGGAAATTGGTTCTTCCTTTTCTGTTCTGAAACTTTAATAGTGGCAACAATTATCGAAATTATGTCAACAATCATAATGGTTATTAATTTGAAACCACAGAAATTATATAAACACAGTTAATTGAATTCACTTCTAATAATTCAAACTGTTATTTTTTCATCTTCTCTTTTCTACTTTTTCATTTCATGAGCTTCCATTACACAAATGATCATGATTCTCAAGAATAACATGAAGATGGAATAGTAATAAAGAGGAGAAATACTAAGTAAAAAAAGAGTGCGAAAAGTAAATTCGCTGAAGATGAATTAAAATGATGAAGAAAAAAGGATGCGATTGATGATCTTGATGAAGATGAGGATGAAGATGGAAAAGTGGATTCACTTCCTGATGATTTAAACCTCCTAAGAGGTTAGGTTGTACTTAAAAAGTAGAAGAATCTATTAACTTTGTTTTTCTTTTCTCTTTTGTGAGTTGATTCTTATTCACTTTCATTCCCAAAATTGATACTCAGTTTCAATTCTTTTTTTTTAAATTATCCTTTTGTTTATTTACTATTTTTCCCTCATCAACTTGATATCTGATTCTTTTATTAGGTTGGCCAAAGCAAAAGAGTAAGCGATATTTTTCGAATAACTTTTTTGTTAATTGTTTGATTTTTCTGAAACTCTCTCAGATTGTTATTCATATATTCGATTATCGTTTTGTGAGATTTCAGTAATTTTCGAATTCCCAAATTCATTATACAGGGTCGCAAACAAAAAGGTCGAATACCGACCGTTTGGAATTATTTCGAAATTAGTTTTCATTATCGAACATATTACTAATCATTAGAATAAATAGAATTTATAAAAAAAATTATGCAATTATCACTTAAATTGTGAATTTTATTCAAAAATCTATGAAAAAATGCACCAAAAAGTTCAGAAATTATGAAAATCTGAATAAAAAATCGTCATTTTCAGCATGAAATTGGGGGTGATTTTTTCGATTTTTTTTAATATTTACAAATTCTTTATTTTAATTCGAACTTTTTTTACTTTATAATAAACTAGAGAGTTCTGTCCTAAAATGATGTAAAATAAATCGACGAAAGTTGATTTGTTTTCGAATTATGAGAAAAATAATAATTACTCGTTTGCTTTGGCCAGCCTAATATCATTTTTTTCATCTTCTTTTATGACCATTTCTCTCTCTGCTGTAGTCCAGTGGTTAGCGACGAGGGTAAGCCTTTACATTGGCCATACTAACTCTGAGGCTCCGCGTTAGACTCCTGACAGAGGCGAGTACTGATGCTATGATCCAGCATTGGGGAGAGAAGCCTCTGGCGTGGGATTAGGCCCCTACGAATAACCTCTCACCCCTACCCCCGGGACCCGTAGTTTAAACTATATACAGCCGATTGAGTACGTCGGCTAAAATAGTCGGGTAGGTGAATACGCGAAAGCGTGGAATAAGCCGAGCTCCCCCCAACTAGTGGGGAAGCCCCCGAAGGCCGCAACAGCCATTGAAAACCAATCTCTCTCTCTCTCTCTGAACATTCTAAAGTCTATCTTTACTCATGGATGAAAAGTCAAACTATCATATGATATTATCATCATTGAAACTAGACCGATGTATTGATTATTAAAGATGATGATGGAGAAAATCAGAATCTCAACTTAGAAATATGTAATAATAATAATAAAGATTATCTCTTTGGGTGATAATGATAACTTTGAATGAACATGACAAAGGTTGGCTTTCAATTCATCAACATTATCCATCTTCCTATGATTGAAAGTGTTTCAAATCTTCTGAACAATAATGAATATTTACTCATGGATCTCTCTCTCTCTCTCTCTCTCTCTCTCTCTCTCTCTTCTCATTCTCATTCTTATTATTATTCTTATTCTTATTAGAGAAAGAAAACATTAGAAAAATTTATTGGAAAGATGGTCTAAATCTTCGGTTTGTCCATTAGAAGATGCACTGGTCCGATCATTTAGAAGAGGAATTAAAAGACGAATCTCAGTTCTAGAAGAATCTTCAACAGATGATGATGATGATGACAATTTAAATAATTATAATGAAAGATCAAGACGTGGTCATGGAAATAGTAATAATCTTCACAATAATTTACATTCTCGTCAATATGGAAATTCTTCATCCTCTCAATTACCTCGAACTATTTTCCATAGAGCTCTTGAAGCAAGTTCACTGTTACTTTGGGATGATCCTCACCTCTGATGATGTGAATGCAATTTTCCCTTTGATCATCGTGACCGTGTTAATAAGATCTCCGGATTATCTGAGTAAGTCAAAAGTATATATCTGCACACAAACAATAACAACAACAACAAAAAAAACTTAATCAGCTTTTTTTATGATCACCTTACTAGGAAATTTTAATTATTACAAAACTTAACAGAACTTACTCCAGTTAAAAAAGATTACGATTATCATAAATATATCGACTTTTGGGTGTACAGTACAATCTTTTAAAATCTTTCTCAAGCTCTGAACTAGTAATTTAAATATTTGATGTCTTTTATCAAGATTGAACTAAAATATTAATTCAATATACCCATTTAAAGAAGAAGAAAAAAATTATCATCTACTTAAGCTTTGTTGTGCTTGTGGGTGACGATAGTTGATTTACCTGATCATTTATCAAATACTTTATAAACAAACACTATGCTTCAGGTCTCCTTTTAACCTGACAAGGTTTTTTCTTGATTGAGAGAAGGAAATTCATTATCTTCTTTTCATTGAGGTCATCAAGTCAAATTAAGCATCTTCGGGAAACATTACAACGGTCAAATGTCAATTCATCATAAACACACATCGTTTCAACACGAATCAAACATCATCATTGATGCTCATTAGCATGTTACACGTTATAAGGAGTAGATTTTAAGATGAACATGAAGATGAATAATCAAAGATTATGTGTCAATTTTCAAAAGTCTAACCTTATTTCCTTTTTAATTAACAATATTTTGAGACTAACTGATTGTTAAGTTACTTAAAGGTAAAAATTGTTACTTACCTCAATTTATCACGAGAATGAAGAATAAGTTTCATTCCTAATCCATTGGATTAACTGTTTTCCTTTTAGGCATGAGACTAAGTTCATTAATTATGATTAAGTAATCACCATGTTATTTAATTTCTAATGAAGGTGATTTTATTCAAATGATTAAGAGATTATCTTAATAGACAAAGAAAGAAAGTAATAGAGAGAGAGAGAAAAAAAAACTTCACGGAAAAGATTAACTAACAAGAGAGTAAAAAAAAATATTATCAAGTTAATTTCCACTCCACCCTGATAGAATCCACCACAATCATCATCTCTCCATCTACTGACAATATATTACTCAGGAATCGGAGATAATATTGAAATACTTGAATTCGAGGATAAAAAAGAGAATCAAGAACCTTGAACTGAATAATTAGTTTTTGAAACTCGAAATCATGAATAATCATCCTGATTAATCTTGAAATTTTCTTCTGTTATAAATTGACTTGATTTATTTTCATTTTCTAGGTTAATACAATGTAAACAATTAAATCTAAATGTTAATATAATCTAGAAGATATTGATGATCACTATGGTTGGAACTTTATTTACATATAATGTTGATGCTTCTGTTTCATTGAGATAAAGTTTCTAGTATGTAAATAATTGTGTAGGTGGTTGAAAATTACCGAAAAGTTAAGTCTATTAACCAACTAGATACAAAATGATTAACTTACAAAAGACCAACAATCAAGGTTTACCTTTTAAATTGTGAACCTTTGCAAGTGAAAATTTTCATATGATTAGTATTGAGGAACAAAAAACAATAGTTAACATTGAATATTTCATGGTTGGAAAAAGTATCTCAGTTAATTGTTACTCTTAATTTTGATTGTGAATATTGTTGCCTCCATCCAGTTAATCAAAATCAATCAAAGTTTTCTTGTCTTCAATTGATTTAATTACTATCATCATGAGAAACTTATAATAATCCATTTCTGATTCTCAGTGTTTGTTAATTTGATTCACTTTAAGTTAATTGTGATGGCGATTTTATCTAATCATCGACAAATTTGGACTGATTTAAATTACATTGTATCAAATGTTATCAACAATTTAATGGAAACTAAATTAAGTGTAGTAATCCTAATTTACTGTAGTTTCCTTGTTGATAATATTTTATTAACTATGGTTGGTGAGTTAATTACTTTTCCTAACTTTGTATTCTGTTATATTATTTTTTTTTTGGTTACATTAATTGTTGATAACTTGATTAACTTGACCAAACTATTGACAATCAATTAACAACATGTCGTACAACAAATTGATTTCAGTTCCAATCATACCTGATTACCTTGAACGGATAAACATGAAATCTGAAGTGACACAATTGAACAATAATGATAAACACTTTGAGACTCAATTAGGCCAAATTTCAACTTCCTCTTCAGTACAATCATCATCATCTTCATCACCAACAACAACACCACCATCAGAATCGACTGTTGTGTCTCTATCATCTTTATTTGTATCGACATCATCATATGTGAATGATAATATATTCACTCAGTGGAATCAATCAAATGAATCCCTATGGAGATTCGGTGAGAAGATTAGTTATCGAAGGTTGTTCGAAGGAGAAAAAGTTGTTAACCAAGAGAGAGAAAAGGAAGAAGAAGATGATGATGATGGTGATGATAGAGAAGAAGGTGAAGGAGCAGAAGAGGAAGATGAGGATGATAATTTAGAAAATCAGGAAATAGGAAATGAAAATGTCGTCAAATCGAAGCGATCATCAAAGAAATCAAATAATTCTGGTAATATCTTAATGGAAGGTGATTCTGATTGGAGATACAATCATCATGGGAATGAGCCAATTGATTGGAAGTCGTTACCTATTAGGGGATCAAAGATTATCAAGATAATATTGGAAGACAAGGTTATCTTGAGTAAAAGAAAATATCAAAACCATGGAAAAGATTCAAAAAGAATTGATTATGATAGAAGTTATCATAAAGAAGAAAAAGAAGAAGATAATGATGATAATTCTAATCATCATCATCATCTTGATCCACATCCTCATCTTCAATCCTCTAATTCACATTCAAAGCAGCATCTTCATCATCATTATCATTTCCATAATCATTTTCGTCATTCAAGTAACCAGGGAGTTCCTCTTGATGAGGATAAAATTGATGATTATCATGAAGAAAGGTTAGTTGGAACACTTTTTGCATCTAAAGCCATTTTCCAACTGATTTTCAATCCAATTTCCAGGAAACTTATCCAAAGGTTAGTTAATCATTATTAGATTACTTCAACAATAAAACCAAGAAATTAACTGTAAGAATAAATCATTTACTTTACCATTTATCGAGAATCCATTAGAAATTCAAATCAATTGAATGGGATTTTGTTATTGATTGACTATCGGATTAACTGATTCTTTGTGGTTTCCCTTTTATCATAATAGTTATGGACACAATTTAACCCAAATTATGGCATCAATGGTCTTACTTATTTCTGCTCTTCGTAAGTTATTTTCCGTTAATTGTGACGATTAACTGAAATAATTAACTTCTTTTCTTCATAGTTTATGCTTTTTCAATCGGTTTCAAGACAATGTTTCTTGCTCGATGCATTCATGGCATTGGATCATCAATCATATCAATCTCAGGTATTCCACTTGAATTAATGAATAAGCAAGACAATTAACTCAACAAAAGCGATAATTTAATGATAATTCAGGAATTCATCATATGGGTTGATTGATATTCACCAAAATTGAGTTTCTATGAACTCTAATAGATGGCACCTACGTCTTGATTCCCCATGAGTTATGTTTACAATAAACACTTAAATTTAATTCGAGTCGACAATTAAAGTTGATTATTTCAATCTATCACTAATTGTATCAGTTGTCAACTCGAAAAGCAATTAGTGGAAAAAAATTATCTCAATGAAAAATAAACACAATTCTGTAAATATTAACATAAAAAGAGGAAAAAAAAACTTCATTCAGATTCAGAACTTTTTTTTACTCAAATTGAGTAAAATCGTAATGAAATTAAGCCAACAAACAACAACAATAACAACAACAAGAAAATGATGAACAATTTAGTAACAATTCTGATTGTTGCGAAGGAATTTTTTTTCTAATTCACTTCTCTTTAATACATTTAAATTGTAATAAAACTAAATTAAGTTCACCCAATTTATTTACTCAGGAAGAAATTTCTGTTAAATTCAATTAGAAATTCAAATTTGGACATTAATTTGTTGTTTATTCAGTTGATTGAAAATGAAAATAATCAAACCAAACAGTTTGATGGTAAAAATTGATTAAGTTAGTTGACTTAATTTCGAGAAGAAATTATTAAATTATTATCGCAATTGAATCGTTAATTGTACTTCTATTAATTGCAGGTATGGCAAAGATTGCGAATCTATTTCAAGATGAGAAATCTCGGTGTCAAGTTATGGGTTTATCTCTTGGTGGAATCGCTCTCGGTGTTTTGAGTGAGTAATTTTCCCTTTGATGAACATCATCCCACCTCTAATTTTCATCTTCCATCATCTTTAATCTTCCATGTTTACCTGAGAAATTGAGAGAGATTTTTTTTCTCTTTTCGATCACAAATCAAATCAAATAGAAAGGTATTAGAAGGAGAGAGATTGGAAGATGATGATGATCATTATGATGAAGATAAAGATGAAAGAAAAGGATGAAAAGAGAATGATAAAACTAAGATAAGGTTAGATTAAAGTAACAGAATACAGGAAGAGGCTGAATAGGAATAGATGGAAAAGATAAATAGAGTAAATATCATCATGTTGCCTTTTATCTTCCTCATCATCGTCATCATCATCATCATCAATTGGTCTCTCTCTTTTTCTCTCTTTCTATCCTCTTACGGTTCATTTTTCCCTCCGGATTGAGAGTTTTTTCTGCTTCTCTCGATTTTTTCTTCTTCTTTTCCAGAACAAAGTTCTCAATTCGATTCGATTCTGAAGCCCAATTAAATCAAGAAAAGTTTTTCTTTTTCTTCTCTTCCTCTTCCTGTTTTCATCAACTTACATTCTCGTTATATTATCATTATCCTTATAATACATCAGAACTTATAATATCTTAGTATTTTCTTTTTTTCTTCATTTTGTTTAGTTGATTCTTTTTTTTTCTCTTCTTTTTCTCGGAATAATTTTGATTCTATTGAATTTTGGGTGAAAAGAAAAACGGAAATGCCTTGAAGGGAAGATTCTGGGAGAGTATAGATGAAGGGTGGAAAGTTTATTCAAGAAAGATGTAAAAGAGAGAGAGAGAGATGAAAAATCCAAATGAAAGTAAATAATGTAAGACCAGAGAGGATGAGTAATCATTAGGTCAAGTTATTTGACCATCATGTGTATGGATGATGAAGATGATAATGATCAGCATCATTGAAAAATGGGTTTTTCCACATTGACTTATATTCATCTTCACTCTTTCATCTTCCTTTATACATTTAGCATGAAAGACTTTCTTTTTTCCCACCTCCCACCTCCCACTCTCTCTCTCTCTCTCTCTCTCTCTTCTTTTTCTTTAGCATCTCTAACACCACACAACTTCATCTTCCTCATTTCATCGACTCTCTCACTCTCTCATTCTCTTCATGGCCATCTAAAGTTTCTCAGCATTTTCCATCCTTTTCAATTCCTTTTCATCTTCTTAAAGTTCATTTATCATGAAGAAAAAAAAAGTTCCGTTGAAAGGAAGGAAAATTTGTTTTTTTCTTCAATAGGTCAACTCTCTCATTCGATAACAAATAATATCTAAGGTTTATCTTCATCCTAATCATCTTCCTTCATATACTCTCGATTCACTTTACAACTTTATCTTTCATCTTTTTAATAATAATCATCTTTCTCTCTCACTTTTTCTTCCTCATCATCTTACCTGCAACATCACCTCATTTTCAATTGAATAAATTGTCAAAATTGTCTAAATCCAGCACTTCTTTTATAACCATCATCAGCTTAATCAAATTGATTGAAAAAATTTCCATTCTAAATGATTAAGCTGATTCAGGTTAATCTCTTTCTCTATAAATGATTAAATCACATAGGATTAACTCACAAGTAATTACCTAGGTTATCAGGATTAGTATTAAAACAGAGATTAGCTAAAAAATTAATATATATGATAATATTTTCTCATCATCTTATTACAATCAAATCTTAATTGATAATCTTAACCATCATATATATATTAATTAAACTAAAATGATTGTTGATCAAATTTTCTTGGTAAAATGTATTGGTGACATTGAGATTTACTATTAAACTTTTTTGATTGTTCACAGATAAAAGTTAATCATTATGATGATGAATGAGTATTTTTATTTAGTTCATTAACAATAGTGATTAATTTTTCTCATCACAAAATTAAAAGTAATTAAAGGTAATATAATTAAATGATTGAATAAAACTTTGAATCAAGTAGAGAAAAGTTGATAATCAATCCGATTAAAGTTAATCCAGTGGATTAAAGTTTAATCTAAAATGAAATTGTGAAAGTAAATCAATTTTCATTACCATAATAATGATGATCATCATTTCATTTGATGGATTAGTTTGTAATATATTGTTTTCGTTTATTATGATTAAAATAATTCACTTGATAATCAACTTGGTGATGATTAAATATTGACTTTAATTATAATCTACAATCAAATTAATTACAATTGAATGTCTGACGATGACAGATCACATTTGAATAACATAGATGAAGATAATCATTCTCATGGTAATTACTACTCAAGTTAATCACATAACCTAATCACTAATTGTGATTAACTTTACTTACTTTCATTTTGTAATAATCTAATTGCTTCTCTGGACTAATCAACCTTTTCAACTTTTAATTATTTGATTTACTTTCTTATGGAAGTAATTAAAACCTTAATTGTGATGAATTGATTATTTTTTTTTCTTCTTCTTCATCTTCTCATGAAAAGTTGGTTATCCTTTCGGTGGTTTTGCTTATGATTTTTTGGGTAAACAATTACCATTCCTGTTAATTGCTTTCCTTTTTTTCTTAATCATTGGTAAGTTAATCATTTGGTTAATTGTTTGTGGATAGCAAGGGATAATTTAATGTCACCAACTATCATCTGTTTAATTGTTAATTAATTAGGTTGCCAGATTACCTTTTTACCAATGGATAAAGAGATTGATTTACAAATGGAAAATAGTTGTTTCCAATTAACCCAAATGGTTAAAGATTTTGATGTAATGATTGCAATTGGTTAGTTAATTGTTGATTATCTGATTATATTGTTAACGATTAACGTTTCTCAGGTTGATTGTTGTTGATTATTTTAATCGATTATCCTTTTGTTTGGATTATTATCTTTCATTAGGTTCGATTTTTTTTACAACATCGATCACCGCAGTTCTAGAACCCGTTTTACCAATTTATCTCATTGATTCTCTTAATGCTCCCGAATGGCAATTAGGTAACAATCAGTTAATTGTTACACTAGTAAATATTGACAATTAATTTGCTTCTCTTGATTGTAGGGATTGTTTTCCTTCCTGATAGTTTTGGTTACATTATCGGAACTCATATCCTTGGATTTGATAGATTTTCAATTGATAAGTAAGTTTAACAATCAATTTGTTTAGATAATTAACTTAATCGACTCTTACAATTAGATGGAAAATTACAATTACTAGTTTATTTTTATCTGGATTCTCAACAATTTTGGTGAGTGAAGATTGTGAACACAATTAACTTTGATTGTTGATTAATTCACTTCTCTTGCAGATCCCATTGACTACTCATTTTTATCAACTGATTTTACCTCAATTTTTATCAGGATTGTCCATTGGTTTGTTTAATTAGATTATGCTTTCGATTGTGTCGACATTTAATTAATGCTTTCTGCTTGGTCACTTTTAGGTATCACCGATGCAGCAATGTCCACTATCCTTGCATCAATTGTTGATGACCGATATTCAGCCAATTACTCAATGATTTACACCTTTTCACAAACTGCCGTTTGTTTGGCTTATATTGTTGGTCCAATTGCATCGAGTATAATTTTAACCTCAATCGGTACAACGGGGACTGTCCATGTGCTCGGAATCATTGTTATCTTATACGGAATCATATGTGTTTCTTATCGAGTCTACCTGATGGATGGTCACTATTGGTCAGATGTTATTACGACACTTGCTCATCATCCATATGAAACTCTTTGACCATTAGAGCAACTGACCAATAAAAATGATCATGGATGCAAATCAACATGATTCTCAGAATGATTAATTCCTCATTCTCGAATTAAATGTTCATCTCTTTTTCCCTCATCAATTCAAGTGTAACAATCAAATGTAATGATTAAATCTCTCTCTCTCTCTTTCTCAACAATTAGATTTAATTTATAATAGATATTTGCTTCCTTGTCCCTTTGTATTATAACAATTACATGTATCGTTTGTTAATATAATACAATTATAACCATGATGATGATGACGATTACAAAGTAAATTGTAAAGCGACAAACAACTGAATCAACTTAATCATCCAACAATGTTGACAATTGATTGTGATGGAATTGAAGAGTAAGAAAAAAAATCAAGTTAAGAGTTAAATTGTAACTTGATCTGCAATTTACAAATATCATGATAAGAATCATGGTGATGAGGAAGAGAAAATAAAAAAAAAGTTTCATCTTCAATTCTGTTAGTTAATTTGGAGGCTTTGGAGTTATCATCAATTAAACTAACTTTGCTACTCTATTTTACCAAGAAATTAGATTGGCTCATTAATTGACTTTCAATCAAATAGAGAGCGAGAGAGAGAGGGAGATATATATATAAAAAAAAGTAAAGATTCTGAATGAGCTACATGATAAAAGAGAACCAAGAATCAGTAAGAAAATGAAGAAAAGAAAAATAAAAAAACTTTTTTCTTTTCCATTCATTTGCCTAATTTACTCGAAATCACGATTAGTTTGCTTACATCTCTTATCTTCCATGATGATGATTCTCTTATTTTCTTCCCTCATCTTATCATAATCACCTTCCCACTCCCACCGAGTTTCATTTAATGGATTCTAACATCTCCTTCATCTTTATCATCCTTATTATCTTTCATTCAACGAGAAGATGATGAATCCTTTTTTTCTTCATCTTTTCTCAATCCTCATGAGTTCCACTCTTAAAGTATTTTCATCATCATCATCAACATGACTGATTCTTGATTCCAAGATGATAAAACCTATTCAAATGATGATAATGATCAAAAGTACAAACTAATTCTCAACTAATCAAGTTAAAGTACTGATCAAGATCATACCAATTAAAGCAAATGATTACAAAATATTAATATTGAATAAAAGTAATTAAATAAAATCATCATCATCGTGTTAATTTAAAAATTGGTAACAAAATTCATGGTAATGATTTTTATTATTCAGGGAGACTTGATAACAGTTCGAGTAGGAATTTTTTTTTGTTCTGGATGAGGCAAAAAAAGCTCATGAATAATATTAGAAGTTAAAATTCATTCTGTTTTTTTCACTCTGAACTTTTTCCCTGAACCATTTTCACACCAACAGATCCAACCCTCAATCTCTCACCCATTTTCCCATAATAATATTTTGTCTCTGAATTGTTGAATATAATATTAAATTACCATAATCTTATGGTTTATTTTCAGTAAACATTAATGTCTATATATGTATATAAATAACAGTGAACATGATTCATGGTGAAAATGCTGAACAATATGAAACCTTAAAATCAGTTTTTATCAGATAAATAGGTAACTCGTGAAAATTTAAATTTCTCATGGGATTCATACTATTATTAGCATTAGATTGTTGGATCATTATTCAGTTTCATTGAGATGAATGAAATAATATTTAGGAATCGATGAGGTAAGAAAATTGTATCAGTAAAGTTTAAAGAGAGAGATGAAAACAGAAAAAGATTCAGAATTTTAACTGAATCAAAAATAAGTTTTTGTTCTTTTTTTGATTGATCAAAAAAAAATTTCATCGATTTTACCTGAGAAACGGAAAAATAATTATATTATCAGATTTTTCATAAGTCAAGGGGAAAGGGTAACATCAACAACGATAAACATTTAACCTCATTAAACAATCAATATCATAATTTATCAATCAGTTGAGTGGGTGAAGAGCATGTTGATAGTTTAGTTTTTTTCCCTTCTAATATTAAATAATATTGATTAGATTTAAAATTCATCTCAAATTCATGTTACATCATTGATTTAATTTTCTTGTCTCATTTTAGAGAAAATGCTACACAAGAGATGGCACCACTGTACAGAAAATCAACAATTTCTCTTGATTATCGATGATACTTTGAATCTATTTGTTTTATCGAGTCTCCTTTTTTTTGAATTTTTGTAAATCTTGAGTATGAGTGATCATCATGATGGTATAACAAAATAAACGAGTATATATATGGATAATATTATATATTATATGAATTCCAGGCGGGAGAAAAATAATGATAATAAAAAAATTCTTTCATCGTTGAACAATCAATATGATCCAGAAATAATTGTCCCTCTTGATCACTTATATGTCCCAAATACTATTAATGTTAAAATAAATTAAGGCAAAAGATAATAGTTATCATGATTGTCATCAAATGATAACATTAATTAATAGGATGAATCAGATTCTTGGCATCATCATAATCATTTTTATCCTAATGTAATATTATCAAGAATATGAAGATAATGATAATAATATTAGTCAACCTTTTGTATTTAAATGTAACTCTGATTACCAAGAATCTGTCACTCTACTCACCTTCATCTCTTTCTCTCTCACTCTCACTCATCCGACTCCTTTTCATCATTATCTTCACTTATCATCTATCTAACAACATTATTTTCCCCTGATTATTTCTGAATAATATAACATTAGATAATATATAAAACTAATATACAAGAAGAAAAATAGAGGAAATGGAAGACAAAATTGTGAGAGAGAGAGAGAGAGAGAGGAAAAAGAAAGGCAAGAAAGAAAGAAAACTTTGGAATTGGTGATGATCCTCAGGGAGAAACGATCGATAAAAAGAAGATAAATTATGATCACAAGATTGGGTGTAGTTCGATTGTTTCAGCTTGAGAATTCATGAAGAGTATCTAAAGAAAAAAAAAGAAAGAGCGAAAAGAAGAAGAAGAAGAAGAAGAAGAAAAAAACTTCCATCGAATTGACTGTGAGAAAAACTCATAACACATTAGAACTCGAGAGTGAGAATCTATATAGTTATGATATAATAGTTATAAGCCATGAATTAATAGAGCAGAAAGGATGATGTTCATCATGAGAGAGAGAAGAAGATGAAAAAATAACAGATAAAACAGATGAGAACATACAAGAATACGAGAGAGAGTGAGAAAGAAAAAGAATCAAATACTCACACAGATAACTTTCCATTCACATGAATACTCATATTTATCATTCCTTCATGTAGCATTTTCCCCATGTAACTCAGTGTGTTCAGCTTTTTCTATCATGAGGAAAGGTCGTCAATCTTTTTGTTTCTGTTTTCGTGTTACTTTTTCATCCTTATTCATTGGCATACACACTAACTCATTCACTCAAATAATCTCATCACCATCATGTAAAGATGATAATTAAACTCGCATGATGAACAAAAATCAATGTTCAAATATAATTGTAATTTTGTAAGAAAATTGTTCAACATGGAAACTAATCAGAATCAAATTCTATCTCAACAGTTCTGGCCATTTTTACGATACCATGAGCTTGCAAAAAATCAGCCAATTTCTCATGAAATTATCATATTTCACTTTCAACTTTTCTTCCTGAGATTCAGATGAATATATTTGAACAAATCTTTCCCTTTCCCATAACTTCAACCAATCACCTTTGTCTTTTTACACGATAATTGTAATAAATACAGTTAACTGAATTACTAATCCTCATCATCTTCATCTTATCTTCATCTTTTTTTCATCTTATTATCATGATTATCATAAACAGGTTACATGAATACAAATGAATTGACTGAATCATTATCATCCTGTTTTCAATGAGCGTTTCAAATGGTTCAACAATCAATAAGGGAGAAACATTGAAATGGAAAAAAAAAACTTTTCTTCTCGATTTTTTTTCTATTTATCTTCATCATCAGTTAATTTTAACAATCAACTGATTTGATTAAATCATTATCATTACTATGAGAAACGTTTTCTCCATCAACGATAAGTATTATGTCATTAAAAGTCACAATTACGATATTTGAGAAAAGTTTTTTCCTCCTTCTCTCTATCAACATCATCACCAAATTACATCCTCATCTTCATTCATTTGCATATCAAAGTTTTCCATTTGTTTTGTGTATAATCATCATCCTTATCATCTTCTCCTTCATCCTCCCCCCATCCTCATCATCCTTTCATCACCTTATATAATCCTATTCAGAATAATAATGATAATGTGTAGCAAATGTTTACGTAAGTTAATTGAAATTATAATTCTAATGGTGAAAATTATAAAAATTGAATCAGAAAGTTTCAGAATCTATTTCAGTATTTATTCACCATGATAGTTAAATCAAGGTTATAAATTTTTATCACCTTCCCTCCCACTCATGATATTAATGCTCTAATCAAGATCAACAGCAAAATTTAATATCTTGGTCATTAAACTGTCATTATTATCACTCTACTGTTGTTAGCATTGAAAGTTATTTGGAACAAAAAAAATTGCTTTTCAAATAACAAAGAGCTAGGAAAAAGTTTCAATTTATCACAAAATTGTGATTCACCATGAATATCCTCATGAATAAACAGGAATGATAAATTTTACGTTTTCAATTACATTGTTTAATGATCAAGGTTACATAATGATTTCTCATGATAATCATGCTAATGATGATAATAATAATTGGTGCAATTGTTTTTCAAGTTCTGGTTTCATATAATAATTGACTGGAAAAAGAGCAATTTTGTTACCTTTAGTCCTTAGTTTCGTGGTAATAACTGTTGAGAAAATTTTTTATGAAAATTCAGCCTCAAGTGATAATCATGAAGAATATGAATTGTCAGTATTATCAGAGTTTTGCTGAATTTGTACCAAGAAGTGAAAACTTTTTCCATTTTATATTCAAATTTTTTTCTACTCATGATAATAATTTAGTCCTGAACTTTTCTCTCTCTCTCACATACTATTCCATGAAAATTTCATCAAAAATAAAATAGAAAGAAAATCATGTTAGATTATCAAATATTCTGATATCAGATTTTTTTCCATCAGAATCAAGAATTTTATCAGATTAATCTAATAAAAGGCAAACATTTTATAATAACTAGAAAAATTTTTATTCAATAATGAGGGTTCACCATGTGAGATAACATGATAACGTCTATACATACATATCTGTAAGCATGAAAACGGTTCATTATTCATTAAGCTTACACTGAATAGCTGGTTGATCAAATTTTCCTTGATAATCAGCCCTCAGGCTAGTTATTCATCATCAAGTCTGAAAACCCAGAAAGAGAAGGTAAAATCTCATTGATATTCACCATTCCTTTTGGTTGCTAAATCACTTGGTAATCAAATAATGTACTGATCTTATACTCAACTGACCTACCATGATGGTTCAGATGATTGATTACACCATGAAATCAGGAAAAAAATGTTTCAAAAAGTTTCCAAAAAATCAAAAGATTTTGAAACTTCAAACAACCACAAAGTGTTAACATTGAAATGAAAATTTTCAATTTTCTTTTGTAACTGAGATTCACTTTATTGATCAGAACTTTAAATATCTCTATCCAAAGATAATAAAGAAACTCATTCAATCATGAATACATTTTTTCCTCAAAATTCTAACCTTTGTCTCCACCCTTGAATTAACTTCATCCTATTAAGTTAATGATGGACCAGAAAAAGGAGACAACACCCGAGGTGGAGTTTGAATATTCCCATGTTCTGAATCTTATTCAGCAGATAAGAAAATATTAAGATAATATATTGAGCTGGACACGAAATTCAGGTCAAACTTTACGAACTTGAGACAAAGTTTTTTTTGTATGTCCTTTCATTGAGACAAATTAATGAAGCTAATTGATGTTAATCTAAAGATGATAATAATAATAATGAAAAGTTGATGAAATTATCTGAGATTCATTTGTATCTGAATTGAATTTTTCTCTCCTTCTTTTTCATGATAAACAATCAGATTAATTTATCTTCCGATTCCGGTATCAATTAACATGGATAATTGATAATCTGTTGATGAGCTTCATTGATGTTAATATATTAAAAAGATATCACCATGTAATGAGGATAATATATTAGCACCATTGAAAGTCAGTTATTATTCAACACTCTCCATGAAATATTAATCGTTACAACAGAATAGATAGTAAACTGAGAACAGGGAATGGGAAATGATTTCCTCTTTCAGGTTCCATAACAAGAACAAATTTATGTTACAAGTTTAATTATTTCTTTCTATTGTTATATATTATTATCATTATCAACATTTTCCTTTTACAATATTTTTCTCCCATGGAATTAAATTGTGAGATTATCAATGTTATCGTA